ACACACACACACACACACACACACACACACACACACACACACACACAACTAATGTAGTGGTAGTGTTGGTGTTGAGGGAAGGAGAGAAGAGGAGTGGGTGGGTGCATCCCCTTGAGTGTGAGAGAGACTATGGAGGCACTTAAGAAGACAAGAGGGAAGACAGAAAAGCTATGTAGGGAGACAGAGACAGGTAGAGAGAACGAAGGTAACAAGATACTGCAAGTATGGGAGAGTGAAGTGAGATCAAGCCTTTTTACGCAGATAAACTCCATCTTCACCCAATTCCACGTCAGAACCAGACAGCTACTTTGGACCGTCCAAAGAGAATCCATCAAAGTGTCTTGGCTCTTAGTGGTTTAACATTTAGTATTGAGAAAAGATTTCACAAGACTTGTATATTGGTGTCAAGATGTTATGTATGTTAAGCTCATATGGCTTTATGCACATACGCAAATACGGCAACAGGCCTCATACACATTACATCTATGCATATGCATATCACATCAGCACTAATGTTTCCAGATGTGTACAGGCTTTGTGTGAGTGTTTGAAGCGATTGCTCCGAGGGCTAATGGAAACCCTCAGGGGCCCATATCAATGAGGGCTCTGCTTGTCCCCCCCATTAGCAGCTGTGCAAGCCTCAGCACACTGTCAGCTCAATAGTGAAAGGTTAAGACCATGGGACATTGCCAAATGACTGAGGGTCAGTCTGGAACGGAAATATGGAGCAATGAGCATAATCATGGAGTTTTGAATGCAACTTGTGCAAATTTGCATCGAATAATAATGAGGCTGATTTCTCTGATGATTAGTTAAAACTCCTGAATCAGCAAGAATGTACCACACATGCATTTTTCAGTGTTTTATGTGCCGTGTGTTGCACACACTTATGTGCATGTCTGGAGCTTGTTTTATGTGTTTGTGTGAGTTCTTCTTTGTGTGTGTTCAACAGTTCCAAGTTCAAGAGGAAATGTGACACCTGGAATCGCTAAAACAGAATGTCAAGAATGTCTGTAAATTTATACAGCGACAAAAAAAAAAGGTTTCCCAAAAAGGAAAAAGACAGTTTTGATGTCCACCTACCTGTCGTGGTCTCGGCCGACACCCCAGACACGGATGCTACTGATTGGCTGAGAGTGGAGCAGGCTGCGATCATCCGGGTCAACCAGGATCAACATGCGGTCTTGAAGCACAAGCAGCATCCCTTTACCCTGTAAGACCACAAACAAGGATAGACTGTGGTTCAAAACAAGGGTCTGTAAGAGGATTTAGGTTGCTAACAGTCAGAGAAATCTTACTTTGGTTGAAAGTCTTGAACTCATAGACATGCAAACTGTGACAAGGTGCTGTGCATCACTCACAAGCCAAACAGTCAAGAAACTTGCCACTGTAGTGTACATACTGTATGTAACTGTCTGTCTCTGCTGCTGACACACTGACCTCTCCCCAGACACCGGCTGAGTCTTGTATGTCCCTCCTACAGTAGGACAGCTGTCTGATACAGTGGTGGACGGCCACGCTGCTTCTCCCCTCACTCAGGTCCTGTTCTGCCATCTCCACCCAGCCCAGAGAGCGCACTGGGAATGACTGGAAGCAACACACACACACACACACACACACACACACACACACACACACACACA